AAAATTTTTTTTATAAAAACTAAATTTTTTATAAAAACAAAAAAGTTTTGGTATACAAAATTTTTCGAGATATCACAAGCCCCATGAACACCTCCATTCACTAACTAAACGCAATCATGGAATTCAGCGCGTACATGTTGCGAGCATCCTACAACAAACAAATAAAAGCATTTTTGTTGCTATGCAATAGAACCAAAGTATACGCGTATGTACAAGCCACGGCATAGCGTTTGCATTAACTTTTTGTTTTTGAAAATTTTGTTTTTGTATATTTGGCCAGCGCTGTTTATTTACAAAATTTATTTGCACAACCACTTCCATGCAACTCTGTTTATTTGTGTATTTGCAAATATTATTATAAAAAGTAAAGTAGTAAGTTTTGCGCGTAAATTTACTTGCATAAATTCATTAGCAAAATGTGTGCAATATATGCAGACGGACAAACAAATAGCGGGAAAATAAATAAGCGTGTTTATTTGATTTAGAATTTTTAATAAGAGCTAAATGTTTTTAATGAAAGTACATGCAACCAAATTATTGCTTGTGTACAGTGAGCGCCATTGAAATAAGTACGCAGAAGAAATTGGTAATTCGATTTACTCTTTTAAATAATTATTTATACTAGAGCCAAAAATATTAAGATTTAGTTCATAATTTTAAAATTCTTACTTTGTTCTTCAAAATCTATGTCGTTCCTCTCAAAGTGATTTCCCTAAACCAAAACACACTTGTACCAATGTTTTTTCCAATTTGAAACTGTCAAAATATCTTTGCCTTCAGCTTACCTTTTCCACGATATTCTGTCGACTGATCATCTGTTTCCGGACCCATCGGCCAGTGTGTTTCATGATATCCTGGTTATCGGAAAGCGTTGTTTAAAAACGTTAACACGACGCTGTTTTAAGAAAAATTTTGGAAGCAATTGTGCTTTCACTTTTTTAAGACGCGAATGATCTTTCAAAATAGTTTAACTGATCTTTCTGACATCTAAACGATGCTAGTAAGATATTTCACTCTTAATCGTAGATTCTCTAGCACCAAAACATTTATTTCATTGGCCTGTTGATCATTAATTGATGTTGATGGACGTTCTGGACGTGGTTCGTTGTCAATGCGTCCTCGCCCCTCTTTGAATAATTTGTTCCAGCTCGTGACAAACAATTTTTACCGAAGGCCTTTTCCAACATTCTAAACGATTTGGCAACAGAAAATTGATTCTGCAAACAAAATTTAATGGAATTTCTTTGTTGAATAATTTTACCCACCGTCAAATGTACTTTCAGTACTCCAGAACGACAAGCATTTTTTATATGATGTGAAATTTGGCATAGATGTCACAGAGTCTTAGATTAAAACTCAGAAAAAAATACAACTTGTGTAAGAACTGCATATGCCCGACCCACAGTTCTATGTTGACTAGTGAAAAATAGTTTTCAGAAATATATGAATAATGTTAGCAAACATAAATATTCAACCTACGCATCTTTAACGGTACATTTGGGATATTATTCAGATTCAGATTCAGATCTTCATTACATACATTAAACAATCGACTTACTTTAAGCTTCAGTGAAAGCTTTTAAGCGCTATTTAGTTTTCATCTCTCAACGCTTTTGTGGAAAAAAGCTTTTAAATTCTTATGAAGTCTTGAAAGTTAGCAAACGAAGTAATACGAACACGTGAAACGTGAAGAGCATGGATATTTTTTATATTTTTTTGCGAAATGGGTTTTTTTGAAACTAAAAGCTCTTCATTTTATGTATAGCGGAAACAATCG